TCTATTGAATGAGACAGAGACGATTGAGAATTCTGGAGGAAGAGTAAAACATCATCTGCATAAAGACTGATCTTATGTTCTATTTTATTACACTTTATCCCTTTAATACCTGTTGTTTGCCTAATTGCTGCTGCTAGTGGTTCGATAAAGATAGCAAACAGTGAGGGGGAGAGTGGGCATCCCTGCCTGGTCCCCCTCTGAAGACAGAAGCTAGCTGATATTTGGTCGTTCGTCCTAACACGTGCAATTGGCGAACTGTATAATGTTTGTAGCCAGTTTATGAAGAAGTTCCCAAAACCAAATTTATGTAAAGTTGCAAATAAGAACTTCCAGTTAACTCTATCAAAAGCCTTTTCTGCATCTAGAGATAATATACTAGTTTCTATGTTTCTACTGTAAGAGAAATCTATCAAATTAAGTAATCTACGCGAATTAGTGGACGACTGTCTACCCTTTATGAAACCAGTTTGGTCCGGGTGTATTAAGAAGGGGGTTACCTTCTCTAATCTTTTTGCCAGGGCTTTACAAATTATTTTGAGATCAACATTAATAAGAGAAATTGGGCGATAGCTGGTTGGAAATGCTGGGTCTTTGCCTGGTTTTAACAAGAGACTAATATTGGCTGAGTTCATGTTTGGCTGTAATCTGCCGCTCTCTTCGATTTCCCTCACCATTCTGAAAAATGTTGGAGCCAAAATGGTCCAGAATTCTTTGTAGAACTCTGCTGGGAACCCGTCTGGACCTGGAGCTTTCCCATTAGTCATGGATTTAAGGGCTTCCTGGAGCTCTGCTGATGTTAGTGGCGAGTCCAGGACTGCAACTTGGCTGTCTGTTAATTTAGGAAGTGTTATCCTATCAAGGAACTCATCGATCTCGTCATCTGATGGGTTTATCTGTGGTGAGTACAAAGTTTGGTAAAAGTCTCTGAAAGTGTTGTTTATTCTTTCAGGGTCATAAACTATATTCCCAGTTGAGTCTTTAACAGCAGATATGGTAGTTTTCTCTTTATTAATTTTTAATTGGCTGGCCAGAAATTTACCGGATTTATTACTATGTTCAAAGTTTTCTATTCGTAGTCTTTGTGCTAAAAATTGTGTTTTTTTGTCAATAATTCCATGAAGTTCTAATTTAGCTTTACGTAATTTGCTCAGTAACTCTTCTTCTGTGGATGTCTCTAAAGACTTAATGATTTCTTCTAACTCCTGGATACGTTTATTTTCTGTTTTTTTCTTATGTGATGAGAAAGAGATTATTTTACCTCTCATCACTGCCTTTCCTGCCTCCCAGAGAATAGATGCTGATGTTCCAGGCAGGTCATTATGTTCTAAATATAAAGCCCACTCCTTTTTAAAAAATTCTATAAAACCTTCATCTTTAAGCAGTGATGTATTAAACCTCCAGTTTTTACTTGGTGGGATTGCTTTCTTGTTTACTAAAGTTAAAGAAACCGGAGCATGGTCGCTGACAACAATAGGGTGTATCTCAGTGTCTGAAATGTCAGCCAGCAATGAGCTGCTGACTAGAAAATAATCCAAACGTGAATGAGAGTGATGGACGTGTGAGAAAAAAGTATACTCTCTACGGTTAGGATGAAGAGATCGCCATGCATCACAAAGCCCATAATCACTCATGTACTGTTTAACTATATAAGTGGATTGCCAATTGCGCCGAGTCCCAGCTGTACTGAGCCTGTCTAAGGAATGCATCCAAAGATTAAAATCACCTCCAAGTATAAGTGGACAGTCCAAGTGTTCGGAGAGTACAGAGAAAAAATTATGAAAGAATGGAGGGTCATCAATATTTGGACAGTATATGCTCACAATACATAAGCGTTGGTTCTGTATAGTTATTTTTAACATTATAAATCTACCTTCTGGATCAGAAACTGTGTCCAGTACTGAGAAATTGATGTTTTTGTGTATTAAAATAGCTACCCCTCTTTGCCTAGAGTTATAGCAGGCAGAGAACATGCTGGGAAACTCAGGTGTTTTAAGTTCATCTGCCGATGTGGCAGATCTATGAGTCTCCTGTAATAATATTACGTCTGCTTGCATTCTTTTTAACTGATCAAAAATCTTTAATCTTTTATCTCTTGAGCCAGTTCCATGTACGTTCCATGAGACAAATCTTAGTGCACCCATAGATGTGTGTGTGAGTAGCTAAAATATGACGCCTTCATGTGAATAAGATGGAATAAGTATCTAAATGTATAAAATAGTATGTTAATAAATAACAGAAAAGTAAATAATAATAAGGATTCAACAGTGTTTGTGGTTGTATTATTTGACGCATAAATTATGATATTGTGTTGTGACTTAAATATATCCATGTGTGTGTGTGTGTGTGTGTGTGTGTGTGTGTGTGTGTGTGTGTGTGTGTGTGTGTGTGTGTGTGTGCGTGTTCCTGTGTGTGTGTGTGTGTGTGGGTCTGTGTGTGCATGTGTGTGTCTGTGTGTGTGCGTGCGTGCGTGTGTGTGTGTGTGTGTGTGTGGAGTCTGACGCCGTGTTGGAAAGTTGTGTGGTTGTGCCATACAGGTGTAAAGAAGCAGATAAAAAGAGGAAAAGAAAATACAGAAACAGGTTAAAAAAGAAGAAAGAACTAAAAAGAAAAGGTGATGGGGTGTGAGGTGATGATGAACAGGTGAACTCATCATCTAAAACACGGATCTAGCAGCTGTTTATTACTGACGTGCTCAAACCCAGTGAATCTGATAAGAAAAATAAAGGTCTGACCTGATGTTGGGCTAATACAGCCAGTCTGTCACTCCTCGCTCCTTGTAAAGTTTATTATCCACATAAAGCTTATCCACTGAGATGACAGCTCTCTTCCCATCTTGGATAAACTTTTTACGCAGCGGAAAGAGAACTCTGCGCCGATCCAGGATTTCCTTAGGAAACTGGTCATTAACGCTGAAGTCTTTGCCTTTGAGCTCTCTTCCGTGACTTTTAACCAGATCCTTCTGCTTAAAATGTTCAAATTTAGCCACGATGGGACGAGGTCGTCTGCTGTCCCCTCTTTTAGCTCCAAGGCGATGTACTCGGTCGAAGGTGATGTTTTTTACCGTTTCTTCGGGTATCTTCATTTGGGTCTGGAGAAAGTGTTTAACAGTGCGTTCGCAGTCCTCGGCCCCTCCCACCTCCTCCGACAGACCTGCAAACACCAAATTATCCCTCATGCTACGGGCCTGAAGGTCCAAAACCGTCTCCTTCAGAGTTTTGTTGTCCTGGGTGATCCGCGTCATTCCCTCCTCCAGGGAAGAAACGGACTCCCGCAGAGACGCGTTCTCAGCAGCGAGCCGCTCCACCTGCTCCTGGCTGAATTCCAGGGACTGGCGGAGGTTCTGAAACTCCTGGTGCAGAACCTCAAGCAGATGAAGACGCCCCTCAAATCCCAGAAGCCGTTTATCTATGGATTCTAATAATTCCAATATGTCCTTCCGGGGAGATGAGGCCTCAGGCGAGTCCTGAGGGCGGCTCCGCTTCGTCCCAGGTGTTTCAGGTTCACCTGCTGATTTCTTCGGACCCATAACAAATAACTCGAAAACTCCGTCAATAAAGTTCTGTAAACTTTCTAAATTTTCTTCACTTACCTCCAGATTGAGCGAGTTATACTTACCAGATTATTTTTTTGCGTTGTCAGTTTTTAAATTAGGCAAAAATGCATCTGAATTGTTTGTGAATGTTTGCTAACGAGCTGCCATCAGCTTCAAACGCTGCTGTGTCCGGTAATCGGCCGTCAGCGCATGCGCATCTCCTCCCAACAGTGGACTCTGACTCCCAGACTTCGGCACCCTCCCAGACTTCGGCACCTGTCAGGACCTTTGTTTCTGCAGGAACTGTTAGCTCATCAGCTTGGCAGGTGCAAAAAAGGTTTTGACAACGTGGTTAAAGCCTTTGATGGTTAAAGAGGTTTTGCTACAGATGGCCGGCCTGAAGCGATTCTCTAGAACTGTCGAATCTCTCAGGATGATCCAGTTTTAAGGTTTAGATGTTATGATTTGCTCAGCCAGTCAAAGGCTGACAGGTTTGGAGATGTTACCAAGACAACTCAGAAAAACACCTTCATCAATACAGGATGTTCTGACTGGTTTAAAACTATGTGTGTCAGGGTTTAACTTAACCTTATTTGTTATGGTGTGAGTGCAGGTGTAAGGACCTCGTCGTGAAAACATGTTGAACACATGGCAGTCTCTGTAAACATAACATAACATCCATTCAGTGAAAACAGATTAATGAAGCATTTCATTATACTATAATTATTATAAGTAGTAATAAATAAATGTTTATTTAATGATTATCTAGATTATGAGTCATGGAAGAAGTTCATATTGATTTAGGAAATCATTCTTGAATTTAGCAACTGATTCGAGCTGGAGTTGTTCCTTCTGTGGAGGCAGACAGGTGGGACCTTGGGAAAGAAAGTTATTGTTTATCTTTCAGACATGCAGAGTCTGTGAGCTGGTATGAAGGCAGACTCATTTAAAGGGAACACATGCAATGTTGTGTCTCCTTTCTGACCAGATGTTGAATAGATGTTGAAAGGTCAGACTGTACCTGAACTGACCATTGCTGGACGTTACACATGTTATAAACTCAGAATATGAATATTGTCGTGATTTGCTGCTTTATAAATAAACTTAAACTGAATATTTAAGTGCATGAACGAATACAGCAATATCAAACAGATTTTTCTAATGTTCTTTAAATTTTTCCCACCCAAAATTAAACAAAACAAGGTGTGTGTGCATGTGTGTTTATGTGCGTGTGTTTATGTGTGTGTGTTTGCGTGTGTGTGTGTGTGTGTGTTTTCACCCTTGACCTGTTTTCATGCCCGAATAGGCTCCCAGATGACTGTCAGAGTGTCGATCATAGGTCAAAAGTCAGTTTCTGTCAACAGACAAACGAAGCCAATTTATGAACACAGACTTTGTCACAAGTAAAGATGGACAGTGTGCCTGCCATGCTGGCACCATCTAAACTCTTACATCTTTGTTTTTCTAGTGTCGGGTCGGTGGTGTGAATGGTCAGAATGGACTCCCTGTTCCAGAACTTGTGGTGCAGAGTCGGTGTCTCGCTACAGGAGCTGCAGCTGTCCTCAAGCCAAAGCTGGAGGAGAACCGTGTCCTGGGGAGCAGAAAGTGCAGAATGGGATTGGAGTTGAAATACAGAGACAGCTTTGCCCTGTCATCACTTTCTGTCCAAGTAAGATCAGGCCCAGAACTAGGAGTTCATTTGCTCTTTGGAAACACCCTTCCAGTATGTGTGTGCAGAGTGCTTTTTATTGCTGGCCTCATAGAAAGACTTGGGAATAACACTGATGACCTTATATAATACAGATCAGATTAGACAACTGGGTATGCTATCATTTGGGATTAGAATAGTAAGCACCCCATTATGTGCATAAAATATGATAAATACTGAGCCAGGATCCTCTGGAGGTTTCTTCCTGTTAAAAGGGAGTTTTCCTCTCCACTGTCGCTGCATGCTTGCTTAGTATGAGGATTGCTGTAAAGACTCTGACACTAGTCAGTGACTTGATGCAACCTGCTGGGTTCCTTATATAGGAAACCTTTTACCGATTGGCTTAATGACCTGACCTGTATTGGAATGTTTACTGTGTGAAGTGCCTTGAGACGATTCTTCGTAGTTTGGTGTTATATAAATGAACTTGAACTGAATTAGTAAAATAGAAACTTTGTTTGACACAAAAAGTTGTGATTATTATGGGGTACTAAATAGTGCGGTAATCACCTGAACGTCCAACATTTGTTTTGTAAGATTCCAAATAAAAAAAGGAAATGACAGAAGACAGGATGATTTTAAATAAAGGGCTTTGTGTTGTACATTTAAAAAATATAAACAAGGTAGAGGTATACTACAACAGAAGATAATGTGACAGTAGTAACAGTAGAAGTAGTAATGAAACAGCAACAATATTCTAATCAGCTGTGTATATAGAGCAGTTGCTTCTGGTCTGATTGCATTTATTGACAAAGTGATGAACTTGGCTGATCCAATTATAAACAAAACATAGTTTATGTGTGTAAACTTTAATAATCTTTTAGAACATTCTGGTGAAAAAAAATATCATGCGACTTTTTTGATTCATGGTTCCGCTAGGTTTATAACACATCGTGTAAAACAGAGAAGCATCATGCAAAACACTCACCGGCCAAAGGCTAGTTGGTTGCCTTTTCAAGTTTTATTTGAACCGCGTCAGTGATGGAGCCTGGTGCACAACAGGTGGCCAATCTGAGCTATCTCCAGAACTTTCCAGTACTCTCCAGGACTGTTCAGAACTGAAGATCTCTCAGTCTGCTTTAGTTTTATGAGTTATTTGTTATGGTTTGGTCAGCCAATTAGAAGCTGACAGGAACGTAGAGGTTGCCAGGGCAACAGAAACACACCTTCTTAATATGGAGACTCTGATCTGGCTGTAAGGTCTGGCTATGTGAAATGAATTTAACGTAGCCCTACTTGTTATGGTTTTTGAGCAGTGTGAGTTGTGAAGACCTTGTTGTCAAAACATGGTGAACACAGTCTATTAGATGGACATAACATCCGCTCAGTGATTTAGATTAAGGAAGCATTTCATTTCATTATATTTTTACCACAAATAGTAATAAGCAAATGTTTATTTAATGATTTAATAGATTAAAATCATAAAATGAGTTATTAATGATTTATTATAGTATTCTTAAGTTTAGCAACTTATTTGAGCTGGTCTTCTTTCTTCTGGAGGCGCAGATGAGATCTTGGGGGCAAAAGTTAGTTATTGTTTTGGATCAGACAAGTGGAGTCTGACTCCCGGCTGGTGTGAAGGCAGACGTTGTTTAAAGGAACACAAGTAACACTGTGTCTCCTTTTTGACCAGATGTTGAATAGATGGCGGAAGGTCAGTTGTGCCTAAACTGACCATTGCTGGACGCTACACCGAATACATTATATGTGTGGGACATATAATAAAAAAAACCTTACTTAGAAAACCAAAATATTAAATTGTATTTATCTTTGTTTCCTATAGTTATTTTAGATTTTAGATTGTTTTTTTCTCCTGCTAGTCCAGGGTTCATGGAGTTCCTGGTCTACATGGTCAGACTGCGATGGCTGTGCTGGGTCTTCCATTCGTGTCCGGGAATGTAACAGCCCTCCCGCCAGATTTGGTGGTCTGCCCTGTCTGGGAGAGAGCCGGCAGAGCCGCAGTTGCAATGATAATACCACTGTCTGCTCTGGTCAGCATATTAAAAGATTCCACATTTACAGTGGACCAAGTCTAAACTTTGAATAATGCTCTTCTCTTGATGTTTGCTTTTTCACAGCCTGTGGTGGGGGGCAGGATGAATGGCTCTGCGGGAAGCCTTGTGCTCGCTCCTGTTCAGACTTGCATGGTGACACAGAATGCTTGGACCCCACTGGCTGCAGCTGGTCTTGTGGGTGTCCGGGTGACATGGTCCTGCAGAATGGAGTGTGTGTGTCCAGAGAAGATTGTCGCTGCAAATACTCCAACAGCTCCACTTTAGGTTGCACTATAGGAATAATATGCATTACGGTTAAATCTAATCGGAAGAGGACATGTAGAGCACAGGCCAAAAGTTTGGACACGTCTGTCTCATTCAACGTGTTATCTTTATTTTCATGATCATTGGTAGATTCTCACTGAAGGCATCAAACCATGAATGAACACATGAGTTATGTACTTAACCCAAAATGGTGAAATAACTGAAAACATGTTTTATATACAACTTTTATGTTTATGTTTATGTATTTAGCAGACGCTTTTTTCCAAAGCGACTAACAAGTGATAATCGGCATATTGCCCTTGAGACTAACAACAACAATAACAACAACAACTTGACATCAATCATGGAGAGGAGGGAACAAGGAGTGGACAGTAGAGGGGGGGACGGGTGCAGGGAGGGTGCTAGTTAAGAAGATGTTTTCTGAAGAGCAGGGTCTTCAGGAGTTTCTTGAAAATTGAAAAGGAAGCCGCAGTTCTGGGAGTGCTTGGAAGGTCATTCCACATTTGTAGAATGATGCATGGGAAGAGTCTGGATTGTCCTGAGCATGGTGTAGGCACTGCTAGCCGACCATCCTGTGATGACTGGAGCGGCCGGGCCGAGACGTAAGCCTTTGCAAGAGAATTCAGGTAGATGGGAGCTGTACCATCTCGGACTTTGTATGCTAGTGTTAGCAATTTGAATTTGATGCGTGCAGCTAGCGGGAGCCAGTGGAGCTCAATGAACAGAGGGGTGACATGTGCTCTTTTTGGCTGATTGAAGACCAGACGCGCCGCTGCGTTCTGGATCATTTGAAGAGGTCTCACAGTAGAGGCTGGAAGACCAGTTAGAAGGGCATTGCAGTAATCGAGGCAGGAGATGACAGTAGATTGCACCAGGAGCTGGGTGGCATGTTGTGTTAGGTATGGTCTGATCTATATGTTATACAGCACAAAGCGGCATGAACGAGCAACAGAGGCAACATGATCTTTATTTTCTTCATAAAAGCCACTCTTTGCTCTTATTACTGCTTTGCACACTCTTGGCATTCTCCTGATGAGCTTCAAGAGTGTTAGAAAACCATTTAAATGGTTTTTCGGTTATTTCACCTTTTTTGGTTGGAGACAAAACTCCTCATGTGTTCATTCGTAGTTTTGAAGCCTTCAGTGAGAATCTACCAATGTAAATGGTCATGAAGATAATGACAACACATTGAATGAGAAGGTGTGTCCACACTTGTGGCCTGTACTGTACTTCCTTTTAATATAATTAAACAAACTGTCTATTCGATGTGTCTCACTGAGCAGAATATCAGGAATCCAGGAATACAACAAGGACAGGGCCTGCTGACCATGACTGGCTGTTTGCTAATCCAGGAGACTTTATAATTAGTGCCTGCAAAAACTGGTATGTCTTAATTTATCAGCTCCACAGCATAAACCTCCCAAAAACGTCAAATTAGAACTTTGATTCTTTTGCTTTTGTGTTTGATTTATTGATTTATTTGTCTTTTAGTTCATGTCAGACTGGAGTTTTACACTGTCAGTCCCTCCCTGGTTGCCAGGTCGATGGTGGCTGGAGCCAGTGGGGATCCTGGACCAACTGCTCACTTCCTTGTGGTGGTGGACTCAAATTCAGGAGGCGTCTTTGCAATAACCCTGCTCCTCAGAGTGGTAGAAGAGGCTGTGTTGGTGCAGCTGAGCAGCGGAGAGAATGCAACACAGAAGTGTGCACAGGTAATCATCACCAGTAGTCCATGCAAAGAATTTGGGTTAAGTGTCCACCTTTTAGCTGGAGATTTGCAGCTTTGCATCCAGATTAGTCTGTCACGTTGTACCTGTGATAAAACATGTCACTTGCTTTGCTGGTGAATGAATGTTGTGTTGTGTTGTAAAGTTCCTAGGGAGTTTCTAGGACTCTAGAAGTCCCCAAATAAATGCAGACAACCATTGTACTTTAAAAAATGTGTTTTTAGTTTTGTGGTCAGGTGCAAGCCCCATGCTCACATGCGACATGAGCTGAGCAGCAGTGTAGCAGTGCAGTTGTAGACTCACTGGTTGACTCCATCATTGTGTGGAGTAAAAACACCATTAACTCACTCACTGCCAGCCGTTGTCAGACTGGTCGGCTGGATAAGGGAGTTGAGCTGTGGCGAGCATGGCTTTACCGACGCGGAAGTGCTAGCGTCGGCGAAACACCAGCTCGCGGTTTGCTAGAAATTCTCCGAGCGTCCGAGCATCAATGAGGCGACACGGAGATCCTGGGTTTTCCAGAGGTAAGAAATAGAGCTTACTGTGAGTAGAAAGTTCGTCGGGTAGGTTGGTAGAATACTCTGATCACGGATTAGAAGAGATGATGACTGAGTGGTGAGCTGGGGAGGCGACTTCCGTATATATGTTTATGTTTATTCATTTAGCAGACGCTTTTATCCAAAGCGACTTACAATTTATAACCTATAGGGCATGTTGTGATCTGTGGAGGAAACCGGAGTGCCCGGAGGAAACCCACACATGCATGGGGAGAACACGCAACTCCACGCAGAAAGGCCGCAGCCGAGTTTTGAACCTGCGACCTTCGTGCTGCGAGGCAACAGTGCTAACCACTGCGCCACCATGCAGCCACGGTCGGTGACGTAGGTGTGACGTGGAGGGAATCCCCGCGAGGAGCATGCTGGGAGTTGTGGTCCAGGGTGGAGACCGGCTAGATGGAAGAGGCTGGTTTGGGGACTTGGGCTCTGACAGGACCCCCCGGTCTAGGGACGGCTCCTGAAGTCCCAGGGCGGCCCGGCGGTCCCAGAAGTCCGAGATAAGGGAAGGGTCCAGGATGGAGCGGGCCGGTTCCCAGGAGCGCTCCTCGGGGCCGTAGTCCGCCCAGTCGACGAGGTATTGCCATCCTCGACCTCTGCGATGGCGTCGAACGGTGTAGATGGGCTCACTGTCGAGGAAGCGGGCAGGTGGAGGCGCCGGAGCTGGTGGCGGTAAGAAAGAAGATTCCACATAGGGCTTGAGCAGGGAGGTGTGGAAGGTGGGATGAATGCGGAGACTCGCCGGCAACCGCAGCCGGTACAAGACTGGGTTGATGACCTTCTGTACAGTGTAAGGCCCGAGGAACCGGGAAGCAAGCTTCTTGGATCCGACACGGAGGTGTAGGCCAGCGGTGGACATCCAGACCTTATCCCCAGGAGCATAGGAGGGACCAGGACGGTGTCAGCTGAGATGCTGGTGAGCGTAACGGGCATTAGCCCGGGTGATGGAAGCTCGTGCCTTGATCCAGGCGTTCTTGCAGCGCCTCACTAGGGATTGCGCGGCAGAAACAGCAACTTCGGGCTCCTCGTGGGCGAAGACTGGGGGCTGGTAGCCATAGCAGACCTCGAAAGGGGACATGGGAGTGGTCAAGGAGGTGTGTAGATTGTGGGACAACTCTGCCCAAAGGAGGTATTTAGGCCACTGCAAGGGTTGAGCCGAGACAAAGCACCGGAGGTACCGACCCAGCTGTTGGTTAACCCGCTCCGTCTGACCATTGGTCTGCGGGTGATAGCCTGAGGATAAGCTGACCGATGCTCCCATTAGGCGGCAAAAGTCTTTCCAGAATCGGGCTGTAAACCGGGGACCCCGGTCGGAGACCACATCGACAGGGAAGCCGTGGAGGCGCACCACGTTCTTCAGGAACAGTTCTGCAGTGAGTCGGGCCGAAGGGAGACCCGGAAGGGCGATGAAGTGGACCGCTTTTGAGAAACGGTCTGTGACCGTGAGGACTGTATTGAGGTTGTTGACTGGCGGGAGTCCCGTGACAAAATCCAGGCCCACGTGGGACCAGGGACGGCTGGGCACCGGGAGTGGTCTGAGAACTCCAACAGGGGCCTGGCTGGGTGTCTTTGAGTGAGTGCAGATGTCACATGCGCTAGTGTATTCCTTAACGTCCTTAGCCATGTGTGGCTACCAGAGAGCCCGCTGGAGGAAGTTAAGAGTCCAAGAGAACCCCACATGGCCTGACATGCATGACGAGTGGGCCCAGGAAAGCGCCTCGCTGCGGCAGGATGTAGGGACATAGAGACGATTAGTGGGAGTCTCTGGAGGTGCGGGGTCGTCCCGGAGGGCGTGCTGAATAGTCTCCTCCAACGGCCACCTCAGGGGGGCCAGGAATCGGTGATTGGGTAGAATCGGTGCAGGCTCAGATGTGGGCGTGGAGTGTGAGAACTGACAGGAGAGGGCATCCGCCTTCTGATTCTTGGTTCCGAGGCGGTAGGCGAGAATGAACTCATAGGGCTCGAAGAAGAGGGCCCAGCGGGCCTGGCGAGGATTAAGCTGCTTGGCGGAGCGGATGTGAGTCAGGTTCTGATGGTCCGTCCAAATTGTGAACGGCTGGGTAGCGCCCACAAGCCAATGTCTCCATTCTTCCAGCGCCCATTTTATGGCCAGCAGTTCACGATCGCCCACGCCATACTTCTGCTGAGTGGTGGAAAACTTCCTGGAGAAGTAGGCGCAGAGATGGAGTCTGTCGTCGGGCCAGCCTTGGGACAGGATGACACCGGCGCCGACGTCCCAGGCATCGAAATCGACCACAAAGGGTATAGTGGTATCTGGATGGTGGAGGACGGGGGCAGACGTGAACCAGGTGACCAGATGGAGGAAGGCCCGAATGGCATCTGGAGTTAGACGAAACAGTTGGCCAGGTGGGCTTGGTCGGGTGAGTGAGGTGAGAGGTGCCACAATGGTGCTGAAGTTCTTTATAAACGGTGGTAAAAGTTGCAGAAACCCAGAAAACTCTGCAGTTGTTTCAGGCTCATCGGAAGGGGCCAGTCAGCGACCGCCTGGACCTTCTGAGGGTCCATGGTTATGCCTTTATCCAACATCATGAAGCCCAGGAATGAGATGGTCCGCTGGTGGAAAGAGCATTTCTCGGGCTTACAGAACAGGTTATTGTTCAGGAGCCAGGTCAGGATGGCACAAACATGGTGGAGGTGTTCGGCCTCGGACTTGGAATAAATGAGGATGTCATCCAGGTAGGCAAACACCCACTGGCCCAGCATGTCACAGAGGACATCATTAATGAGGCGTTGGAAGACGGCGGGGCTGTCGCACAACCCGAAGGGCATGACCTGGTACTCCCAATGACCGGTGGGTGTGATGAATGCAGTCTTCCACTCATCCCCTGCTTTGATGCGGACCAGATTGTAGGTGCTCCGGAGGTCCAGTTTAGTGAAGATCTGTGCCTGGGAGATGGAGTCCAGAGCAGTCGTGAGGAGTGGCAGGGGATGACGGTCCCGGATAGTGATTCTGTTAAGATCCCGGTAATCTATACAGGGACGAAGGTCACCTTCCTTCTTCTTCACAAAGAAGAAGCCTGCAGCACCCGGGGACTAGGAGGGTCGGATGAAACCCTGCTGGAGGGCCTGGTTGATGTATTCATCCACAGCTCTGGATTCGGAGGGAGAGAGAGAGAAAAGGCGCCCTCGGGGGGGGGGGGGGGGGGGGGGGTTGGGGGGCTGGTTCCTGGTTGCAGCTTGATTTCCATGTCATATGGGTGGTGAGGCGGCAGTGTGGTGGCGCGCCGCTTGTCAAAGACTGCGGCAAGGTCTTGATAGGGCAATGGCAGATTGGGCGGTGAAGGTCCGAGACCACCAGCTGGGCCGTCTGCCATGGGTGGAGGAGAAGAGAGGTGGGCCTGGCACTGGGTCCCCCAGCCTAACAGGCGGTTCAGGGATCAGGAAATCTGGGGGTGGTGGAGACGGAGCCAGGGGAACCCCAGGATTAGAATAGAGGAGGGAGCGGAGATGATCAGGAAATGGAGGGTCTCCTGGTGGTATTGGGTGATCATCTGGAGTGACTGGGTTCGGTCTTGGACAGGATAGGGCTGGAGAGGTCTGCCGTCCACCGAGGTCACCGGAACAACCCGTTCCAGGGGGTCAGGGGGATCCGTAGGCGTTTAGCCAGATCCACATCGATGAAGTTGTCGGCGGCCCACGAGTCCACCAGAGCGTGCATCTGATGTGAGGTCTCACCATGAAGGAGGGTCACGGGAAGGAGGAGTCGGTGGGAAGAAACAGGGGCAGAGGATGACCCGGGCTGAGCTACCCTGATACTCAGTGGGTGCCTCCGTTTCCCGGCCGTAATGGGCAGTCCAGGCGGCGGTGGTCGGGAGAGCCACAATAGGCACAGAGACCCTCGCGCCACCATCACTGTCTCTCTTCCGGGGGAAGGTGGCCTAGCTGCATTGGCTCCTCAGTTGAGGTGGGTTCGGACGCTGGCGTTGGTGAGCGAGGAAGAGGTCCAGAAGTTCTGAGTGGGCGAGCGGAGGGCCTGGGTCGAACCAGAACCCGCTGGTCAATGCGCAGCGCCAGGTCGGCAAATTCATCCAGGGTCTGGGGCAGTTCTCTTCCGGTCATCTCGTCTCGGATGTAGGGTGCCAACCCCTCTAAGAAAACAGCCCGAAAGGCAGAGTCATCCCATTGACGATGGTGCAAAACTCTGATGCATGGGCGCACACCAAGCGTTCCCGTTGGCGGAGTTTTAGGAGACGTGCCTCAGCCCCCACTTCACTACTGGGTAGAACAAAGGTCTTCCTGAGGGCGGCCACAAAGACAGCATAGTCATTGTAGGCAGGGGATTTAGAATTATAAAGAGCAGCGGCCCACTCCTGAGCGTGTCCAGAGAGAAGTGAGGTGAGGTGCGCCACCCGAGAGCAGGCAGTGGGGAAGCATCCTGGTTGGCACTCAAATTGCATGTCGAGGGAGGCG